GAGAGAGAGAGAGAGAGAGAGAGAGAGAGAGAGAGAGAGAGAGAGAGAGAGAGAACGCAGTGCGTTTACAAGATTACGTCGCGGGCGCACGGCGAAGACGCGCCGGCAGTCTCGGTGCACAACGGCGGGAGGGAGAAAAACTGTCCGGCCGTGGAAGTTAACGTCTTCCGGAGTTAAACGAGCCACCGCGCCGCGACTTAAAGTCGTATTCGCGCGCGCGATTTCGCTCTTGATAATCGGCCCGGATGAATAATCCAAAATGGACGCGTCGAGCGCGTTTCCTTGTTTTTCATGTGACGATCGCGCCACGTGCTGGAATTCGACGCATCTGCGCGTGCATTCCCGAATGCTTAAATGGGCCAAAACGGGGAAGAGAGAGAGAGAGAGAGAGAGAGAGAGAGAGAGAGAGAGATATGATGTAATCATATTTATTATCTATTACACAGAGATATAATCTGTAACAATTTTTTGATTGGATTTCTCTCTTGATAAAATCGTTGGATATCATTTATCTCTCTCTCTCTCTCTCTCTCTTTGTTCGTGGGCGTTTCAACGCTTGACTTGACGTATGTTCTCGTAATTCAAAATTCTTGCGATTAAGATACCATCGATAAATCTCACACCACAAAATCTCATTTAAAATTAACCGAAAGAGAGAACGTGTTTGTGAAAACATCGACTCTCCGCGACTTCTTTGTAGGCAAGTTGAGGAGAGTCGAGTTGATTCTAACACAGCTTGTATATGTATTCATCATTCCCACGCATGAGATGAGATCTTCTAACGATCTCTCACGAGTCATTCAGGGAACACCGTTTATACGTATTTCGCCTTGGGTGATTCCGACCGCGGTGAACACATCAAAGTAAATTTGATTGGACGCACGCGCGTCATGTATATTCACAATTCCTGTTTATATATTCTTGATGCCCCAAGGCTCGCGGAGACCCTTTAAATGTCCAGTCGCGTTTGAACGCTCAAATCTTGCGGAAAAATATCGCGCTTTCGTTCTAGTTTGACATCTATTGCTACGAGCTGCGAAGATAAAGTCTCATAGGGTGTTTCTGGGACATCCCGTAACTGGATAATTAAATATTATGCCATTATTTGGTATTATTCGTCATTATTTGTCATTATTCATCATTATTTGATGTATCTATTCCTGAGTACAGTTAGGTGATTAAAGATTGCAACACTTTTCTTTTATGAGTTTTGCAACACATTCTGTATCTAACAGGATAATTTGCATGAAGAGGAAATTATTTCTTTTTCATAATAAATTCTTTTAAATTTTATTGTTTGTAGTGTAGTGCAGGAATGACTATTAATATAGTCTATTTTAATAACATATTTTTAAACAGTGCTTTCCAATACCTATAATATATATAATATAATAAAAATATAAGTAGCATACACACGCATATATGTATGAAGTGAATGGATAGTCAATTACTTCAAAATGTCGATTTATCCCTCGATTATAAAATTCCACAGTAATTTGTACTATAAAATTCTCTCCGTGTAATAATCCAGGAGATTATTTCCCCAGATAGATCAGGATGTATGACAGATAATCGTTAATAAAAATTCTACAATTTTTTAATATATTTATGAGGTATATATATTGAATAATCATTAAATCTGTAAAAACCATAAAATTTTAATAAAGATTTTATGATCTTGATGAAGTAATAGATTTACTAAAAAATTTATCCTCAGATTTTCATATTACATTTTGCATGACATATCGCTTTGGACAAATTTTGATAATTCTTCCCGTACATTTAATTTTTATTTTTATTTCATCATTTTATGTGATAAGTATGAGTACTATATGAGAACTATTCATCAAGGACGCAACTTTTATAAAGTAAAGGTAAAGTTGCTGTCAAATTTACGTACATGTCTGCTTTCCTATTGGATACTGGATACAGTACAAAATTTATGGAGGAAAAGTGTTGCAACCTTTAACTATCCGACTGCGTTTCGAGGGCGCGCGGGCACAACTACTCTCGGGGATCACATCTGATTTTTCCCGAATCGATCGGGAAACTCGACGTGCAAACTTCGTCCTGTCCCTCTCTTGCCGTCCCGAGAAGAGTATTTCTGCTCATATACCGTGTCTTGTTCGCCGTCAGCAGCCGGCCTCGCCGGAATACAGTTCGCGTCGTGTCGCGTCGCGGAGCCAAGAGTCATTTGTGTGTTGCGCGGGGGAGGAAAAGCGCGGGAGGAAAAGAGAGGACAGGAGGATGCCGTGCACGGGGGTGAGGGAGGCGGGGGTGGCGGGGCGACGTCAA